GCGGGAGAATCATGGCGACTCCCTGACTCAGCTTCTTTTTCCCAGCATTCTCTTCTGTCTACTCCGCCTACCTAATTTTCTGTCCTATGAGGGCCGAGGCAGTTTCTTTATTATTAACCAATGAAAACAACAGATAAGATACAAGACCCACCTCCATCAGATACCCTAAAAATAGCCAATTAAGTAACTAAGGAGCAGGACCATAAAATTTAACGAGGTCCAGGTGTTCTTGGGAGGTATCCTATCCTTGAAGATACCTTGTCAGTAATTTATGGCTCTTTGTTAGGTTTTCACACTCAAAAACTGATCAAAGGTTTCAGAAACTATCTTACCCTATGCCCTCCTTACCCAATCCCCAAATGACAGGACATGAACTCATACGCAGGCGTACACCACCACCGCCCGGCCTGCATCTTGTGTCTTGAGGTACAGTCTCTAGCTGAACCCAAAGCTTACAGATTTGACTAGTGTAGCTAGCAAGCTTGCTCCAGGCACCCAGTGTCTTCACCCCTGGAATGCCAGGATTATAAGCAGGCCACCAAGCCCATCCAGTACTTATATGGATGACAGGGATTCAAATCAAGTTCTCAGGCTTTTATGGGAGGTGCTCTACCAACTAAGTCACCACTCCAGCCCTGAACAACAGGTCTTCATGTGTTTTCTTGTGTGACACAACTTTAGGAAGCCTGCGTATGATTAGCCTCACTGCTCAGGATTTCCTATATACACAAGAGTATATCATCTATCTGCAAACAGATAGTTTTGCCTTTTAAACCTCACAATGTAGATCTTTTATTTCTTACTTTTTGTCAAATTTCCCTGGGCAGAATCTCCAGCACAATGTTAAACAGAAACAGTAAGAGAGGCCTCCATGTCTTATTCTTGGTTAGGGAAAGCATATAGTCAGCAGCTGAAGCAAGGGCAGTTTCTTACCCAGTGGCTAGCTTTGCCACACTGAAAGAAAACTCCATATGGAGGTTCTTTGATGCCTATCATCTTTTTTTTTTTTAAAGTAGATTGGTGTTGCCAGAAGTAGACGTTTTTCACTGTCATGAAAAGCCTTGTTATTAAAACATCTTAAATGGCATATTCTGTAGATCTCTGAAGTGTTTGAAGACTGCTGCTTAAGGGGTCATACCAGCAGGAACATGGAAGACAATGGTACTGAGAATGATTTGAATTGTGTTGGGCTGGCTCAAAAGATTTCAAAGGAGAAGAATTTTAGTATGTGGCCTAGAGATTGTTCTTGTGATATTTTGGGAAGAATGTGGCTGCCTTTTGCCCTTGTCTGGAAAATCTGCCTGAAGCTAAAGTGAAGAGTTTTGGATTAATTCCGCTGAGAAGAAATCTCAAAACAGCCTAGTATAGAATCTGGCATGTGGTTATTAGTGGTAACTCTAATGAAGATTTACAATGAGCAGGGTAAATTACAAAATGTAAAATTTGAGCAGAAAAGGAGCACCAGAAAGTAGAATGGAGCTAAATCCTGTATTCAAGGAGACAAACAAATTAAGAAATCGAACAAAGGGCAAGGTAACCTCAGGGCAAGACCCCACCTAGCTAAATTCCCAATTCACAAGAAGGAATTAAAGAAAAGTTTAGAGCTGGGTCTGCTGGTCTGCTGGTGTGTGCTGTTAATCCCAGCACTCCAGGCAGAGGCTGGCTGATGGCTGAGTTCAAGGTCAGCCTGGTCCACAGAACAAGCTCCAGGACAGCCAAGATTAGGCAGTGAAGGAAACTATGGAAAACAGAAAGCTGGTGAAGACGTAATTGAACAAATAAGCTTATGTTCTGTCCCAGCAAGCAGCAGAACTTGGCAGCTTAGGCCATGTAGTTCTGGCTTTAGAGTTAAAGATCTAAGAAAGGGGCTATGGAATTTGCCTCTGTGACTAAGGAACTGCTGAGGCCAGGTGTGTGTCAGGGTGTTCCTAACTGGAGGTCTAGAGAGAACAGTGTGTGAAGCTGTGAAGTTTAAGCTTGGAGACCCCAAGATGCTGGAGATGCCAGAGACATGAGACTTTACACTTTCTCTGCTTACTTTTTTTTTTTTTTTTTTTTTTTTTTTTGGTTTTTCGAGACAGGGTTTCTCTGTGGCTTTGGAGCCTGTCCTGACACTAGCTCTGTAGACCAGGCTGGTCTCGAACTCACAGAGATTCGCCTGCCTCTGCCTCCCAAGTGCTGGGATTAAAGGCGTGCGCCACCATTGCCTGGCTCTCTGCTTACATTTTAATGATGCTATATTTCACTCAAACATTTCAGTAAATTTTCTGAATGCCTCCCTATAATACAACTCTAATAATATCTTTGTCTTTCTCTCTGTCTCTTTCTCACACACACATACAATTCCTTACTGTCATCAAGTACTAATTCAAATTTCATCAAATGTTCTTTAGAGACTTGTGGTGGCCGTTCTTGGTTGTCAACTTGACCATATCCGGAATTAACTAAGATCCAAGGAGCTAAGTATCCCTGTGCAGGACTATTTTAAAACTTAAATCATTTGAAATCAGAAGCCCCACCTTTAATACAGATCTTCTGAAGAGGGCCACACCTGTTGTTGGCAGCCTATAAAAAGGACATGGAGGAAGGAAGCTCACTCTCTCTACCTGCTTGTTCTCCCTCTGCCTGGGAAGCCCATTCCTTCACTGGCATTAGAGCCTACTTCTTTGGCACTCTGGCATATACTAAAGACCAGATAACACATCAGCCTTGTGGGCTGAGAACAACTAGACTCTTGGACCTTCCATTGGTAGACAGCAAGAGCTGGGCTAGCTGGACCACAGCCTCTAAGTCATTCTAAATATATGGAATACATACTGTAAATTCTGTTCTTATAGATTCTCTAGTCTAGAGAATCCTAATATAAGGTCCCTTACAGTTACATTTTTAAAAAATCTTTGCGTGTATGAGCACACGCATGCATTCTCATGCTCATTTGTGCATCTTCACGTGTGTGGACTCATTGGTGTGGAGGTCAGAGGACAATATCCTGTGTTGGTCCTTGCCTACAGGGTTCTTGCTGTTCACCTGACCACTGAGCTTCCAGGCACTCTCCTGTCTTTACCTAGGGCTGCCTTCATAGGGCACCATGGACAATGCTTAACACAATAGAAATCACTTTCTCAGTTTTGGAGGCCAAGTCCAAAATCCAGCAGAACTGGTTCCTTCTGGTAACTCCGAGGGATAATCTCATCCAGGCCTTCTGTAACGTCTATCTGGTAGTTGCTAGAATTCCAGGGTTCCTTGGCTTGAAACCAAGCCACTCCAATCTCCGCCCCTGTGACCACTTCTTTAAGTGTGTGTCCGTAAGCTTCTGTATCTCGCTCTCCTTATAAGGACATCAATGACTAGATCTAAGGCCTAACACCTAATCCACACATGAAGAGCTCAATTTGATTACAAATTTTCAAAGATGTGTTTCCAGATAAGGTCACAGCCACAGGTGCCACGGAGTCAGAACACAATCCAACGGGTCACACGATCACGAAGAGTTCTCTGTATAGTCCAGAGGTAAAGAAATGGCCTCTGGAGTCAGTGTGCTTAACCGTGCCACCTTCTTCTACCCATGCGATCCTAGAAGTTACCAGATTCCCTACCTGAAGGCTGGAATAAAAACCCTAACTGTATCACAGAGCTGCAGTAAGCTCTCTTGCACGCTCCCTCTCTTACACACACACACGTAAAACACCTAGCACCAATCCTGCACACAACTACACGGTTACTGGTTATTACCAATATTAAGGTTGTACCTGCCATCTCTGAGCCCTTTCCAAATCCACTCCTTTCCCTTCCCATCCCTTCTCGGCGCTGCACCTACGAGAACTCAGTAACATAAACCTGGCCACGGCATGTTCTCAGTTACAACTATTTCCATCTACCTTGGTTTTCCCACCAGAGTAACAGTATTCAAGGCTTGAGCCTCCAAACTGGCCCCAATCTTTTCTTTCACCTAGTTAATATTTAGTCATTTATCAGACTTCGGGTCAGACACATCTTTTCTCAGGCCCTTTTTCAGATTCTCAGGCTAGTATGACCCTACACCTTTCCAGTATTTGACACATCTGTTACTCATTTTAGATTAAACTTCATCTTAAGGACAGGTGACTGGTGTAACCTGCTTCTGTTACAGAGGCCTGGCACATATTCGTGTTCATCTCTTCCGGAGTAATATATGAAATGCATCGTTCTTGCCTGTGGGTTTGAGTTTCAATGATTCCAAGGCCACAGTTGGTATATTGAAACAACTGTCTAACATCACGTAGTCCTGTCTGTTTTGTCCTATACAGCAAGAAGCAGCTGGACAGTCTGGCAAGAAGATCTGATGGAGAGGACGAAGAAACCATAACGCGTGCGTGTGTCTTCATGTTTGTATTCCTAGATTCCAGCACGGTCGTTGGCACACGGTATACACCCAATGGGGCGTGCACCTAGAACAAGGTGCTAACTCCTTTCACCATCAACCCTACCTCCCACCAACGTCTACTGCTCCCATCGGGTTCCCCACCAGTCATTCCAACGACGCGCACGCTGAAAGCGCCTCCACTCCCAGCTCTGAACTCAAAACTCCTCTCCAGCTTTCCCTCTATAAAATCGGTAACAACACCAACAAAAATGCACGGAATTGTCTGAGCGAAACACCAGCCGGGCGGAATCGAGTCGGGGCTCCTCCGCCGCCAGCCCCAGGCCCCACACGCCCACCCCGGCTCGCCGCGCGGGGACGCCCCTCTTCCCAGGCGCCCCGCCGAGTCCCAGCCCCCACCCCCGCCCCGGCACTCACTGTTCTTGAGGAAGCGCTCCTCGTGCAGCACGGCGATGGCGTTCACGCACAGCAGGGCCGCCTGCAGCAGGGAGTACAGCGTGAAGGCCATGGCCACCCCAAGCAGTTCCCAGGCCTATAGACTCCTTCCCGGACACCGCTCGGGACGTGGCGCCACCACCGTGCCCGGCTACGGGAGCCCGCGCGGCCCAAACCGCGCTCACCGAGGAGCCCCGCCTCCTCTGGCTGAGCCCCGCCCCGTGCTGAGTCCGCGACGGAGTACCGCGTCCTGAGGTGAACCACAGGAGTCTGGAACACTTGAGCCGGTAATCATTCTTCACAGACAGGGGCTGAGAAAACAGATGTAGAGTAACATGCAATTTGAAAGTGTTCTTTATATATTGAAGTAATAGGAATATATTTGAAGTAAATTTTTTTTCTAGCAGTTTTTCTGCCTACTTTTTGCTTTTTGCTTTTTTTGTTTGCTGTGGTTGTAAGCCACGCGTGAGGCTTGTGTTGTGCTTCTCTCGAGCCCGGCTGCCCTACATGTTCCCAAGAACTGTGTGAAAAGTTAGTTTTCAGATTTTACCCTTGAAAAAATGGAGACTGAGGCGTTCAAACTTGATCAAACTCTAGCCAGAATATAAATAATACAGAAGGGGAAAGGAAGCTCTTTCACCCACGGCCATATGGAAAGACTTGGATATATTAACATCCCTAATTGTCCATGGATATGACCCAGTCCTTCTTGACGAGTATGTCCAGGGTTTTGTTGTACCAAGAGAAAATTAGCTGAAACAGGAAGTGACGGACCATGGGTGGATGGATTGGAAGCTCGATTAGAGCTGCCCAGAGCAGTGCCTTCCAATTGCCACATGAACTGATTCTCCGACTGCCATAAAAACCAGGTTAATTTCTCTGGGCTTCTGCCACTTTCCGTTCCAAAATTAGGTGATGGTCATCTCCGAGGCCCTTTCCATTTTAAAAATCTAGCTAAAGCAGCTTGGAAGGAAGTATACACGTTCTGCTGCAGTGTTATTTGATTTATTATTTCTCAAAATTCCAGGTTTGTAGCCTAAACTGCTAACAGCAGATTATATCCTGTAAGAGAACTGTTACACTGGGAGGTGGTGGCACACGCCTTAAATCCCAGTGCTTGGGAGGCAGAAGAAGAGGGATCTTGTATACAGTGAGGTCAGGGCAGCCAGAGATAAACAGAGAAACCATGTCTCAAGAAACAAACAACAAAGATAATTGTTGCTTTATTTTCAAAGAAATTCAAAATCCTAGAAATTGTATCACATACATATGTATAAAGTAGATATTTCAGTTTATTTACTTATTTAGGGACAGGGCCTCACTGTCTACCTGTAGCTGGGCTGGCATTCTCTGTGTAGACCATACTGGTCTAGAACCCACAGAAATCTACCTGCTTCTGCCTTCTTAGTGCTGGCTTCAAAGGCTTATGCTACCATGCCCAGCGCAAGTTGTTACAATTTATAAAGCTCTCCAATGAGCTTTATAAATTTTGTTGGTGCAAGTCTTTAATCTTAGCACTTGGGCAGAGGCAGGCAGGTCTCTGAGTTCGAGGCCAGCCTGGTCTACAGAGTAGTTCTAGGACAGCCAGGGCCACACTGAGAAACCCTGTCTCAAAAATAAAACAAACAAACAAATAACAAATAACTAAAAGTCTCTCAAACAACAGCAGAAAAGAAACTAAAAGAATGTTTTTGCTTTTGTGTTTTATCTTTGAGGGCTGAGAGTTTTAAACCGGTTGTGGTCTGGTGCTGAACTTCGGAAGGACGTTTGAGAGGTTTTATGGACTCACGCTCCCCACCCTATCAGCTGTCCTTGCTGGAGGTGAAACTGTCTTTACAAGGTCAGACAGCGGTGACTTTTCCTTTTCTCAGGGTGGTTTATTTGTTTGGGATTTTCTCTCTGGGCTGAGAGACAACAGTATGATAACAGTTTGTTATCATATGACATCTTACTGTAATAACTTTATATAATATATACTATATATGCTATATAACTTATAACTACTGATTTGGAGTCAGTGATTTTATTTGCTTCTTAACAAGAACCAAGGAATTAGGGCCATCAATAATCAGTTTCTTCCTGAAAGAGAAAACAAGAGTGTGTATGGAATAGGCTGGAGAGCTAGCTCAGTGGTTAAGAACATTTAACTATTCCTGCAGAGGACCCATATTGGTTCTGATCACACCAAAGTCCGCTAGTGTCTGTAACTCCAGTACCAAAGGATCCAGCACCCTCTTCTGGCTGATTCTGGAACTGCACATATACATTGCACCAATATGCATGCAGGCGAAACTACCCATACACACAAAATAAAAATAAACGAATCTTGTGGGGGGAAGGAGATGATAGGAGTGGGAGGAGGGGGAGGGAGGTGGGGGGCTGGGGGGAGGCGGAAATTTTTTTCTTTCTTTCAATAAAAAAAAATAAACGAATCTTTGAAAAATAGAGTATGTATGAGTGAATTCCAGAGCTGAGAGGAAAATTCTAGGACTGTTCCTGGGTCTCTCTTTCACTTTTACATCCTGCATACAATCCAGCAGTAGATCCTGTTAACTTTTACTTTAATAAACACTGTGGTTTGAATGTTGTCTCCAAAATGTATGCTGAAATTTAATCAGCATTGTAATGCAAAGGGTGTGTGTGTGATGTGTATTTGTGGTGTGTGTGATATGCATATGTGGTGTGTTTGTAATATGTATATGTGTGTGTATACATGAGTTTTCAGGTACAGATGCCCATGCTTATGGTGCTAAACCCAGAGGAGGGAGCTGAATGTCTTTCTATCGTTCTTTGACTTATTCCCTTGATGCAGACTCTTGCTGAACCCGAAGCTCACTAGGCTGGCTGGCCAGTGAGCTCCCAGATCCATTTGTCTCTGCCTCCAGCACTGAGGTTGCAGGCTTGCAGGCACAGGCAGCCACGCCCAGCATTTACATGGGTACCAGGGTGAGAACGCTGGTCCTCATGTTTGGACAGCGAGCTCTCTTGCCTGCCGAGTACAAGCCCATCTGTGGTGGGATGTTCTTTTAACTGGGCAAAGGTGTGGTACATTTGTTTCATTTCTGCCACCTCTGTTAAGGATATAGAGATGTGTTGTTACATTTGTTTATGCTGCTGATTATTACTTTAACTGTGTAAAGGTGTGTTACATTTGTTTCTGCTGAGGATTGTTACTTTGGTGTGTTACATTCATTTCTGTCGCCTCTGTTAAGGATGTAAAGATGTGTTGGTACATTTGTTTGTGCGGCATTTGTTTGATTGGTCTAATAAAAAGCTCAACATCCAATAGCTAGGCAGAAGAGGGATAAACAGGCCTGGCAGGCAGAGAGAATAAGTAGGAGGAGAAATCTAGGTTTGAGAAGAATGAGAGGAAGAAGAAGAAAAGAGAATGAGGGAGAAAAAGAGGGATATGCCTAGGGTCAGCCGAGCAGCCACCAACCACTGGATACAGAGTAGGACATACAGAAAGAAGGGTTAAAAAAAGCCCTAAGGCAAAACATAGATGAAGAGAACAGGTTAATTTAAGCTACAGGGGGAAAATGGTGCTAACCAGAAATGAGCATAAGCTAGGGCCAACCATTCATAACTAATAAGTCGCTGTATCGTGATTCAGGAGCTGGTTGGTGGCCCAAGAGAGAAAGCCTGGAGTGTCCATCTGTAATGGTTTGACTGAGAATGGCCATCAGAGCCATATTAGGATACTTGGTCCTCAGTTGGTGGAACTGTTTGGGAAGGATTAAGAGGAGGTGGCCTTTGAGGTTTTAAAAGCTGATGCCATTCGCAGTCACCTCTCTCAGGCTTAGGCGTACGAATCAGAAGTGCACTCAGTTACTGCTTCAGCACCAAGTCTGAAGCTGTGTGGCCATGCTCCCTGCCGTGATAGTCATGGACTCGTCCTCTGAAACTCGGCCTCCATTAAGTGCTGTGTTCCACCAGTCGCCTTAGTCATAGTGCTCTGTCATTGCAGTGGAAAAGCAGTTGAGACACCAGCACTCTAACCCAAGTTTTCAGGGTAAAAGTCCAGACCCTGGCAGCTGCAACAAGTCAGGCCTGGCTAATGGTCCCCTGTACAACAAACACCAGAGTAAAAGAGCCAGGAAACTTAGTTGGTGGGATTACATTCACAAGAGGAGCAACTGTGCATAACTAAGCAGTCCTGCTCAAGCTATGGCCCCACCCATCGCTGACCCATCATTGGTTACGTCTCTCTGGTCCGTGCTGCAAGCTGGCCTGATAAACTCTTCAGAATGGCGTGAAATCTCTTTGCCTGGCAAGTTCCTCTCCGGGCTAGCGCCAGGGCTTCTTTCGCTACCTTATTTTAGTTCTTTGGACTTCACTGTTCCAGTCATCTGAGAGTCAGCGGGAAGGCTATGTGTGTCTTTGTAGAATATATCCTTTCCTTTCAGGGTGGGTACAGGGCCATTGAGAAGCAACTGAGTCCCGAGGACTCTGCTTGGGACTAGGTTAATGCTGCTATTTCAAACGCCAGTCACTGTAAAAGAGTAAATTCATGTCTCTTTGCTTGTCTACCATGGGAGGACACAGCAAAAAATTGCTAGCTCTTTAGTCTTGGGCTCTCTGGCCCCCAGAAACGTGAGTCAATCTATTTCTTCTCATACAGGGCAGAGTCTGGGGTGTTCTAACTGCTCCACCTTCTTATCAACTGAAGTCCTGGTTTGAGCTCCCATGGCCTCTTGAGGATTCCTGTGCGGTTGCTCTCCAAACGAGCTCGTGTGTTTGGGAAGGTCCTCCCCTCTCTCCATTAATTCTTCCTAGAGCATCCTAAGTACTTCTTAGGAAATCAAACAATGAAAACGAGTTCTTTGTGGGGAGAGTTTGGGTCATCTGTCCCATAAGAACTCCCCACATTTTTGTATTCCCAAAGTCCTGTCTGAGCCAAATCACAGGAGAAAAATTAAAATGCTGACTGAAGAAAGCGGTCATTATATTTACACCATCTAAAACTTTCCCCTGGCAATGAAAACAAATAGCTTATGGTATTTTTTTCTTCCTCAGTTAGATCTTAGAAGAAATTTTCCATAAACTTTTTGACCTGGCCCTTTCTCTTTCTGGTTTTGCATCTCAGCATCTCTATTCCCTGCAGTCATTAAAAAATAGCCCAAATGGAGAGACATATTATGTGTTATTTATTAAAAATTTAGAATCAGTGTGAAGTCTGACAAAAATGGATTATTTTTTAAGCATTTTTGTCCTGGTCATATATAGATATATTTATTTTCTTATCTATGTCTGCAGTGGGAATCAATGGTGACTGAAGTATGTTTGCTTTTAATCCTGTTATTCACAATAGCTACCCTGGGTTTAAATGGGCTTATGGCAGCAGAATTCACCCAAAAGGCTTCTATTTGGGTCAGCATTGGACCAAAATAGAAAAATGACACAAGTGAGCTCCATTCATGTTTGTGGACACGTACAAGCTATTTTTACTATAAGACGCAAATGAAACCCTCTGCAAGCTGAAAATTTGTGTGCTATAGAGTGTTTCTGGAAATAGGACCTTAAAATGGAAAGTTTCTTTAAAAAATTAAAATGAGTCACCGTACCTCTGGTACTAATCCCGAGTAACTATGTTGAGCTGACTAATTTTAGGTCAAAAAGTACTACTTGAGTAAATAAAGTCAGAATTGAAAAAAAAATGAAAGAAACTACTTAAATGTTTATAACTTATTCATTTATTTGTTCATCTTTTTCATTCATTAAGAATTTATTGGACCTTGGGGGCCAGACAGATGGTTCAAGGGCTAAGAGCACTTGTAATTGTTGCAAAGGATCCAGGTTTGGTTCCCAGCACCCACGTGGTGACTCAAAACCATCTGTAACTCCAGTTCCAGGGTTAGGGTATCCGATGTCCTCTTCTGACCTGCGGGGTACCAGGCACACATATGCACAGATGTCCATGGAAGCAAAATTCTCACACATACAAAGTAAATAAATCTGAAAATCATTTAAAGGAATTTATTGAACTTTAAAGAAATACGTTACATCACGCAGGGGGCTGGGAGAGGTGCAGTAGGGCAAGCAGGTGTGTTTCTTTTGCTGGAGTGGGAGAGGCTGCCTACTAAGAAAAACGAGTTATAGGCTACAAGCATAAAGTTATCAAGCTGCGGAGATTCAGTGCTAAGATGAGTGGGACATGGAACAAAAGGGCAGGTTAGGACCGGGCTGGACATCAGGGTCATCTAAAGGCTTAAAATACGTGTAACTGTCGTTCAGTTACAGGTGGTGCATGAGCACACAGGGGCGGGACTTCACAGACCCCTTCCTGCTCTGTGCTTGCATGGCTTGCTCTTGAGTAGGCCGTGTGCATACAGGCACAGTGTTGTGAGCTCATGCAAAGAAGGGCCATCGTGCCCTACAGATATTGCTTTGCTGCAGATACTGGCTCTTAGATCCCCGAGCTGCCTGTGTGTTTGCATGCATGTGTGCATGCGTGCATGCCTGCCTGCCTGTGTGTGTGGCATGGCTTTCCCACGTAGAGCTGAGCACTTCAGCCTGCACATTGTGTGTCTCTGCTTTCATCACCAGCTACTGCAGAAAGAAGCCTCCCCGATGAAGTGGGGGAGAAGCACTCATCTACAGGTGCCTGTTGTAAGCATGTGTAAACTCCTCAAACGGTAGAGAGTCCAAAAATAGAAGGAGAAACTAGCTACTACCAAATGCAGGAGATAAGAGTATACTTCTTTCATTATTTTGAAAGAAAACAAATTAGGATCTAAAATTTTGTATCCAATCAGAATATCTACTATCTACCAATTTTAAAAATGACAATTAAAAAAACAAAGGGCAAAACAAGGAAAAAAGTTTTGCATTAAAAATTTA